AATATTACTTACTTTTTTAGGCCTTTTTACTTCTCATTCTAAACTATCTCTATCACCAAATAATAGGATAAATAGCAGAAATAAAAAGTTCTTGAAATTATTTTTGAGTTAATGCATATAAGTTATTTTGCACCTCAATCACAAAATCCACCAATAAATTAGCCTCATTCTTTCTTTTTTCTTATTATAAGTAGTTAAGTAGTATTTTGATATTTTATTATATTTTTATCATTTGAAAAAATTATAAAATATATTTATGATGATTAAGCCAATTAAAAGTTGATGAAACATCCAAGAAAAATGTCATTTTTCTGGCCTGAGAGTAATTTCTCATGCTCTTTTTCTGCTATGCCATATAGCGTTCATGAAGGGATTTTATTCTTGAACGTCGGGATGAAAGAATAAGGGATGGTAAATTGAAAGGGCAAATAACTAAAATAACTATTAAAAATTGTCCGAAAGTAAAAGAACTCAATCTTAATAATAATGAAATTAGTGAAATTATTTTGGAAGGTGAGTTTCTTAATTTAGAGCGATTGGAGTCACATGATAATAAATTGAAGGAAATTGATATTAGCAAGGCTCCTAATTTAACTTTCCTGAGTGTTGCTCGTAATCCTATTAACAACATAAAGGGATTAGGGTACTCAACCCAACTTAAATTTGTTAATTTGACCGGTACCCCTGGATTTAATGGCCGAGAGTATGGGGAATGAAAGGATGCTATCAAAAGCGTGTTGGATATACCCCTTACTGACCCTTTGCCAGACACTTGAAAAACTGATTTGGAAAATAAGTTGGATGAGTTAAAAAATCGTCCTACTACGGACTATTCTGGTCCACTAAAAGAAATATTGGGATTAAACCCTGCTGATAATTTACCGGTTAATTGGCAAGATCAATTAGCCAAAAAGGATGATTTAGCAGCCGCCCAAAGTGATTTAAAAGAGTGAACCGATAAATTTCCTGATAAAAGCCCCGCTGAGGTAGAAAATGAAAATAAGAAAGCCGTGAACGATTTACAAAAAGAGTTGGATGGTTGAAAAAATGAGTTTGCTGGTAAAAATCCGCAAGATATAGCCCAAGAATTAGCCGATGCCAACCAAGATAAAGATAAATTGAATGATTGACAAGGCAGATTCCCCGACAAAACACCGCAAGAAGTGGCAAATGAGTTGAATGATTTAAGGGATAAACCAACCGGTTCAACTCTCACGGCCGAGCAGGAGAAGAAATTAAATGATTACGAAATAATGGCAGCATATTTGGATGAGAACTTAGGAGGAGAGTGAGAAGCTGTGGTTCAAATAGAAAAGAAATAGAAAAAAGCAAAAATTAAATAAGTAATAATATGGCATTAGTAGGTAAAGACGCACAAGTAGAATTTGACAATAAATATGGGGCAACGAAAACAACGGAGACAAAATTAGAATTTAATGGCACTGGTTTAGTAGATACAGAAAAATGAGATGGTGATTTAGTTATTGATGGTTATACTGCTGCGACAGAAATTAATTTTTCCAAAAATTTGATGGATGGATTAATTATTAAAAATTGCCCTAAATTGAAAAAAATTAATATTAACGACAATGAATTTTTAAGAGTAGATCTTAGTGAGTTAGGAGCAAGCAATGTCCTAGAAGATTTATTTGCAAATGGTAACCAACTCACAGATCTTAATGTTAAAAATTGTAAAGAAATTAAAAAGTTGAAACTTCGCAATAATGCTGGACTCAATAAGGCTAAAGGTTTAGAGGAGTTGGAAAATATCGACGAAATTGACTTAACAGGTAATCCAAAATTCCGACTTATTCACACCAACAAATTGAACGGATATGTAGAAGCAAAAGAGGTCATCAAGGAAATGTTAGGTTTAAATGCTGATGACAGTTTGCCAGATTCAGTAAGAGTAGCCTCTGGCGGTAAGTTAGATCCTGACAAGTTAAAAAGTGAAATAACGAATAAAATTAATTCCCAAGTTCCCCAATTAACCACCGACAAAGAAAACGCCGAAAAAGAACGGGATGCCGCCAATGCTAAATTAGACGCCCAAAAAGATTACGATACTATTAAAACGGAACGCGATCAATTACAACAGCAATTAGAGGCCATAAAAACTGAATTAGGTTTAAAAAACGATGCTACTCAGCAGCAAATTATTGATAAAATAAAAGAATTAAAAGGAAGGCCAGCCAATACCGATTATGATGCTATTAAATCCCAACGAGATAGTTTACAAACCCAAGTAAATAACTTACAAAG